AAAAGCCTCCATTTTCCCCCCTATTCTCTAAAAGAATATGGAAATCTAAAAGATGAGTACTACCTTTTCCTTCCCACCTTAAATATTTGGTGGACCTTGATGTTGATATTACTTAACCTGAAATTATGGGAAATTTTTAAATTAAGGATATTGTTGTGGATTCAAATGTATCTTTCATTCACTTACTTGTTAAAGCTCTAACCCTCAATGGGATTGTAACCTGAAGATGGGGCTTTGAGGAGATAAAGTTAAATGAGTTCTCAAGAGTGGGTCCCTAATCTAATAGAACTGCTGTCCTTATAAGAAGGCACACCAGAGCCTACCCATGTTCTCTTCCTTCCTTCTCCCCTACCCCACGTATACATAAGGAAGAGACCATAAAAGGACATGGTGAAAAGGCAATCAGTGATCTTTAAGACAAGAAGAGAGGACTCAACAGAAACCAATCCTGAAGACACCTTCATCTTTTTGGCCTCCAGAAATGTGATAAAATAATTTCTAGAGGCTGGGGTTGTGGCTTAGTGGTAGAGCACTTGTCTAGCATGTGTGATGCACTGGGTTCGATTCTCAGCACCACATATAAATAAATTTTAAAAAATTCATCAAAAACTAATAAAAATATTTAAAAGATAATAATGTCTATTGTTTAAAGCATCTTGTCTGTGGTAAAGAATTGAAGCTAATAATAAAAGTTCATAACCTGAGCAGACAAATACAGATACAATTTATCAATTTCAATATAATTCACATAGTCTATTACTTCTTACATCAGTTTTGGTAAAGTATCTTTCATGAAAGTAAAACGTCAAATATTTTGTCACAAATATTCTTTTCTTAACATTCTATGTTTTACTCTCTGTAAGTTCTTTGGTGATGTTTCACTTTTCATTTCTGATATCAGTAGTTTGAATTTTATTTTTCCTGGACAGTCTATCTTAAGTTGTATCAATTTTATCTATCTGTTCAAAGAACAAATTTTGGCCTTATTTCTTTTCTCTCTACTGCACATTTATTTTTAATGCACTGATTTCCCCTTTTATCTTCCTGAGTTGTTTTCCTCTGCAGATGCTTGAGAAACTCTCAGTGCTAAACCTTGCACTATTATGAAGTTGTTGGTGTAACAATCCATTTAGATACAATGATATTCCATTACCACTTTAATCTTTGGTCTTTAATATTAACATAATGCTAAAGCACTTTAATACTCATTATTCAGTATGACTAGAAAGTCAAAGATTACTAGATATTTAGGAATAAATATAAAAGCAAAAGATTAAAAAGTAAAAATAAAATCTGAGAAAAATACAATGTGGATAACAAAGTAAATTTTAAAAAGGTGTTTAAGATTAGAGAGCTAACAGATAATGTAACCCTGATACCAAAATAGTGTGTTAAAATGGATAAAGAATAAGAAAAAAATAAAGTATGAATATAATGGTATAAATTAAATAGTCAATAAAAACTTCATGTGGAAAAAAAATGAATCTAGATACTAGGAAAAAAAACATGTTAAGAAAAACAAGAATCAGAAAGAAGACTTTAGATGATTATTCCAAGAAAATGACTTTCAACCTATAAATTTAAATATAGACAGATAATATTTATGTTTGTGGTATTTTTCACATCTGCAAAGTACTAAAAAAATCATCACTTTCCCCATATTAGTTTCATATAACTGCTATAATAAATTGCTTTAAACTTAGTAGTTTAAACAATATGAATTTTTAACTTAGTTTCAGAGGTCTGAAGTCTGAAATGGGTCAGCAGGGCTATGCTCCTTCTAGAGGACCTAGGGCAGAATCCGTTTCCTTCTCTTTCCCAGCTTTTAGCCATTACCTACAGTCCTCTGCTCACAGTTGTTTCTTCTAACTTTAAAGCCAAGAGTGTAGAATATTTTCCCATCTCTGACATCTTTCTCCCTCCTTTAAAGCCTGGTAATCCAAGGTAGTTTTTCTATTTCAGTATCTTTAATGTAATTACTGATAAAGTTCCTCTTGCCAAGGGTATAAAAACTAGGATATGAACTTATTGGAAGGGGGTACATAACTTTGTCTCCTAACTCCCATTACATTATTTCAGAAATGTATTAGAAAATGTTTTTCACAAAAACAAATGTTTAAACAAAGAAAAAAAGGTACAAGTGATCCAACAGAGGACAGTAGTTTTGGATTAGTGAAAGTTACTCATCTTGCATGGACTAATGGTGGTAATACTGTACAATGAATAGATGTAAGGAAAAAAATATCTGCTATAGCGATGTATTGTGCTTTATCATTTTGGCTGTGTTTAAGGACAGATTACTAATCATTACATAAAAAGTAAATTATTAAGGAAAGTAAAATCTTATATTAAAAGTCAATGTGATCACAGTATACTATGTGACATTGGATTGAATATTTACTTAAACATAATAGAGGTAACACTAACTTTTTACTTAACAAAAAATTATCAATCAATATTTTGAGATGAGGGGACAGGAAGAATGTGTGGATAGGGAGAGAGTGACTGTTCATTACTTGGGGGTGATGTCAAGAAAGAACTAACTATATCATTTTCCTCCACAGGAGAAAGACAATGGATAATGTCTAAATTTGAAAAACAAGAAACTGCAGTATATTAAGACAGGTAGAGTAATATCAGAAGAATTATTCAAAATATTTCAAAGCAATTTCCTTTGGAGATAATAACTGAGAACACAGTGGTGAACTATTAGTAATTATCAATATTTATGTTTTTCTATATTTCCCAGTCTCTCTTGTATTTCATGTCGGGGCAGTGGGATCAAATTCTGGCCAAATTGATATATCCAATTTTTAGGGCTAACTTCGATAATTTTCATCATTCCTCTTTCTTCTTTTCTTCATTTCCTCCCACCCCGACTTTGTGATACTGGGTATTGAATCAAGGATGCTTGCTAGGCCCATGCTGTATCACTGAGCAACATACCCATCCTTTAAAATTTTATTTTATTTTGAGACAGGGTCTCACTAAGTTGACCATGCTGGCCTTGAATTTACAACTGTCCTGCCTCAGCCTCCCAAGTACCTTGGAAGCAGCTGGGAGTATAGGTGCCTACTACCACACCTGGCTTTCATTCTTATCAATAAGCTATGGACCCCAAATCCTAGGAGGCAGCAGAACCTCTCTACCAAAAGAAAAAAAAAGTAAAGCCTGTGTCCTTGAGTATAACAGTTCATCTGACTAGGGACATTCACAATGGCTCTTTTGTTAGACATTTTTTTTATATATTGAGCCTCTGATATTTTGGGGTCTTTTGTTATAGCAGTAAATTCAGTATGTTGGTTTAACAAAAATTGGTCACAAATTCTTTGACCATCTTTTGAGAAGTGAGTTTTGTCTTCTCCCCTATAATCTGGAAAGGACTCATTTCTGTTACTTTTTGAGGGTAAGTTGAAATAAGGAAGGAAAGGAAGAAAAAAGAAGGTAAAGGAAGGGAAGGGAGGAAGGAAGAAACATTTCTTTTTGGAGCTCTGGGCCTATTAATAAGTCTGTGAGGGAGCCCAGCACATGTTATAAACAGGACCTCTGCTAGTATGCAGACTTCTCAGTTGAGTTACCAGAGAAAAGTTGATCCACTGTGCTCCACTGACTGTGTAATTTATGAAAATGATAAAATGATTGTTTTAGGCTACTATATTTTCCAGTAATTTATACACAGACATAGCAACCCAGTATTCTAGTAAATAGTATCATTTTCTTTTTAATTTGTATAACTGAACTGCTTTGGTAAGAGTTGGTTTCAAAAAGAAAATACTTGTGAATTATTTATTCCTGGCTTAGAGACTTTTCACCATTGCTGCTTTCTCTAACCAGAAAGCTCATCTTTCTCCCTAAATTAGTGGCTTTCAAACTCTTCAGATACTATACAACAAGAAATACACTTTATTTATATAAACAACCTAGTGTGTGTGTGTGTGTGTGTGTGTGTATATATATATATGGCTCTATAAAGCAATACTTTACTAAGTTCCATGCACTGACATTTCTACTCTGTTTTATTATTTCATTATTTAAAAAGTGAAAGAGATTTTCTTTATTACAAATGTGTCAAGACCTGTACCAATGGGTCCTATACAATCCCCTTTCCAGCTGGAAAACAGTGCTCTAAATAATAACCATTCTTTGAAGCCTTACCCAAATCCAATCAATGAGCCTTCATTGATTACCCTATTCTGAGCTTTCTGAAATCCCTATCATATTGTATTTTCTGTACAATTCATACTTTACATGGTAAACATATCCAGCATATCCAGGGCAAAGCTCTGTCCCTTAGCTCTGACTTGCTCAATTCATAGTATACTACTTAATAAATACATTGCTCAATATTTGACTATTGTGCTTCTGAATCTTACAATCGGCAACATGCACTTCTTCAGTTAGAATTTCTTTAATGTGGGGCATGGAAAAATGGTTTAATAACATATTAACTTCAAATCCGAAAAAGGCTAAGTGTACCAACTCTGTTTACATGTTTTTATGCAAGCCAATTCATCAATATACAAACTTTTTCTAATAACTATTCAGCAGACGAAATGTTATCTTGATACAGTCACAGAGAAGTAATTGAACTAAATTCTCATGAGTAAAATGTTCTGGGGATTGATAAAGTGGAAAGTGCTCTTGGGGATCAGCATTCCTTTACAACTCACTGCAACTAAGGCTTGAATGTGTACTTCGAGAACTTCTCCAGTTTTGTGGCACCGCCCAGACTCAGAAGGAAACTGTGAGTCTGGCGATTCCGAGACCAGGCCACGGATGTCCGGGCCTTGTTCTCTGCTGGAGTCTCCCGGAACAAAAGTTACGCCGCCTTGAGAGGCTTGAGTGACTGGGCGGGATTTCCCGTCCAACTCTGCCTGGCTCTCGGCGCGGTAGGTACCTCAGCTCTGGGGCCGGCGTGGCGCTCAGCTCCAGCAACGGCTAGGCTCCGCCCTCTGGTGTCTCCTGGAAAGCGCTCCGCTGGGTCCGCGCGCGATCACTGCCCGGAGCGCGCCTCGGCCTTGGGCGGAGCGGAAGACGCGTGGAGCCGTGAGAGGACTCGCGGGTTGTGCAGGTCTGCATCCCTCTGCTATCCCGGTGCTGGTCTCTGCGCGTGTCTAGAGACTAGTGGTATGGCCTGAGCCTTGCGGCCGTGGGAAGTGAACCTTCCTTGTCAGGACCCTCGCAGAGGTTGTGCTGGGTGTCACTTGTGAGGAGGACTTTGGTCCCTGCGCGGGCGCTTGAGTGTCTTGAGGGACCTTTGGGGAAAAAGACTTCCCAATTTTTCCGCAGAACAAAACAAAAAATCCTCCCCCAACACTATGCTTTCTTTCCCTCTATCATGTCTATCGTGGCAAAGTCAGTCCTCTAAGGACCCCATCCTTTAATTTTTAGTTTCTGGAGGGGTTTGCGGGAAATTGGTAGTCGTGGTTCTTCCTTAAAACAGACACAGGGATACTTACGTCATACAGTGTATTTAAAATCTTAAGATTATGGTTACATAATAAGCATAGGGAGGCGTTTGATTCATTTGTCTAAATTCTTTTTTGGGTATGTAAGGCATATAAGGAAGTCTGTGTTCACGTGCCAGTTCCATGGAGTTGAATGATAAAATCAGTACTTAAGATAGCAACATGTAGGAACTATTTATGATTGGACCCCATCTACTTTGAAAAACTTAAGACAGTATGCCTACTGTATGTTGGATGCTGTGTAAGGAGCCATTAGTCCTGTATAAAAAACCGTGGTATCTTGGATTAAAAAAAAAAATGTTGAACTTGTACATATTATGTGACCAGTTCTTGAAAATACTCCAGAAAAAAAAAAAAAAAATTGAAGTGAGTTTAATCCAGTACGGAAATGGTCCACAACAAAGTACAGGGGAATTTTAGATAATGTTCTATTGGGAAGCCAGTCAGCTTAGAATAATGGAAAAGCTAGGAGCTTTTAACATTATTTTTTTGTGTGTGTGGGAGAGGGAGTGGGGAAAAAAGTTGCCAGGCTGCTGTTTGTACAGGCTGCAGATGGCTTACAGAGGTAGTTTGTCAGGTAATTCAGTAATGAGATGAGATACATATTGTATACCTTTTTCTCAGAATGATTTTGATTGAGTTAACAAATATTTGTTGATTATCTCCTGTTACATAAGAATCAGGAATATCTGATATCAGGAAAGAATTCTGCTTTTGCAGAGTTGAATGTTAGGAGTGAATCTTCTCTGAAAGGTTGCTTCTAAATTAAGTACATTTTTCTGTGTCAAATATGTGGAACTAATTATAAGTTTTAAGAGGTAAACAGGTGTAAGAGATTGCCCTACCTCACATATAACTTGATAAGAAACTGAATTAGTGTCCTGACTTTGAGTCTGAAAATAGAAAGTTATGTGAAAGGTAGAAATGGTGCAATTTGGTGAGTTTAATTAGTTTTTTGGGAAATAAAAGGAGGAGTGAAAACATTCCTTTTTTCAGCTTGAGTTACAGAATGGTGGATATACCATCAGGTATTTGTTAGTTTCTTAGGAATACTCATTGTGTTTTATCTTTAATCTCCACAACTCCAGTTACATTTCTCCAAATATATTTGATATTAGCAAGTATGTTTTGAAGGTTTTGAATAGTCATGTTTGCAACAAACTATTTGAACACATTTAAAGTAGGCTACTGGCTAGGTCAGAGTATATTTCCAATCATATGGTTTCAGAGACCTTTGGAGGAAGCTCTTCATGATTTACAACCTCTTAGCCTTTTTTTATGTGGCTACTTCAGCCACAGATGAGAGTGTGTTGATGAGACACTGGAAAGAGCCAGAAATATTTTCCTTTCACTATCTCAGATATTTCTGTTGTTTGATTTTTGTAGAGAAAAAAAAACATTTTGTAGAGATAACCATAATATCTACTTGGTTATGTGGGTGGAAAGTTAGTGACATTCAGGGTTATATTTCTGAGACATCTCAAGAGAGTGTACATTGTGAGCTCTGGAATATCTGCAAATAATTTTCTGTTGAATATCGGGCAATTATGTTGAATTTCATAGCATCCACAGGAATTGGATTCTTCAACCCCACTATGTCTGGGCCAAGCTGTTTGACAGCACATGTGCACATGTATACCCAGAATTAGTCCAGTCCCTTTTTTTGGTAATGCCTTGATTTGGATAACTCAGAATGCTTAGTCTTAAAATGCTTTTCAGAAGGTACCTCAGGTGACACCAGAACAAACCCAGACTGACAGGGTGTAGACAAAACATAATTAGCATCCTGAATGCAGCAAGGCTGTACTGGATGGCTTGTGATTATAAAAACTTTGTTGGCTGACTGTAGTTCTCATTTCTGGGGACTTATAGGATCTCCTCCCAAACTTTTAATGCTGCTTCTGTCCCTAGATTAAATTTTTTATCTTAAGGTTTTGTTTTTTCCTTCCCTTAATCTGTAGGTGGACTCTGTAAAACATCTGAAAATGTATAGAAAATATTTGGTTCCATATGTACATTTTCTAGAGATAAACAAGATTTTCATGTGATTGCTAATTTCTTCTGAGACTCAAAAAAGAAAAGGGTAGTGTCTAAATATCTCATATTCTTACTAGTTGTTAAAGCATGTTCACTAAAAAGCCACTTTTAGGAAGGTGATTTGGAGTGGCATTCGAAGTAGATGTATTCTATTTGCTCATTCTAAAAATCACCTTTGCTGAGCAACCTCAGATATAAATCTGTGCCTATCAGTACATGGCAGAAATATCTACTATGCATATTTTGGTTTTTCCCTGGGATACATTTGGCAAGTGCGTTTTCCTTTTCCTTCAGTGACTACCAGCATTCTTTTTTTTTTTTTTTTAACATACCTTTGAGTCTCAAGCTCACTGGGATTTACAATCTAAAAAGAAACTCTCAATGAATAATTAAAATTAGTGTCACATACTTCTTGATGGCAAATTATGTTGTATATTTATTCTTCTCTGGACTTCTTGTTCACATTTTCTTTAGGAGGCCACAGCTAGTTTCCTGTTGGGAATTATAACATTTCTCCTGTTACTGTTTGTACTCAACAGTGCCTGGAGTTTCATAAACACCACAATGCCATATAGCTTTATAGTAAGAGAATCATTTTACAACTGTGGAATGCATATCAAATTAACAGGGCCCAGTCTTTCTTCTCCTTTGAAAGATATCTTGCATCCAGAGTATGCAATTTTGGCAGCCATCATGCTTCCGTGAAGAATACACAAGTGGGAAACTTATTTTACTATTTTATCTTCGATACTCAGGAATTTGAATGCTGTATAATTTTAGAAAACAGTAGAAATTCTTTGAGTGGACAATGTTAATCAAATGGTACTCTGTAAAATTTAAATTTTAATATAGTTTATTTCACCTTATAGAATATTTTATAAATAACTGATAATAGATGTCTCTCTGTAGAGTGGATATGTTATATGTGCTTTAAGTTGTAGAGGAATGTATCTTTTAGAACATATATGTATTAGGAAATACAAAGTGTCTTTCTTGTTTTTCCTCTACTCTCACACCATAATGAAAACAGAAAACTCCTGTGACCTCAAAAGGTATACAGATTTCTCCCCATCCAGCAAGTCTGCAGTGGATACTAACTGGGTATCCTCTAATTTAATTCAATTGAACACTACTTGAAGATAATGTCAGATTCCACAGAGTGAGGGCTCTGTCCCCAAGGAAGATCCAGTTTCAGACACAGTTGCAAGTTTGGGTCCCAGAACTTCTTACTCACCAGCTATAAATTGAGATTCTCACAGCCCCCTCCTCAAACTTGATCAATTTATTAGAATGGCTCACAGAATTCATAGAAATACTGTACTAACTTTTGCTGTTTTTTAAATAAAGGATATTTTAAAGTATACAAATATGCAGCCAATGAAGTGATACACAGGGAAAGGTCTGAGTAGTTCCTAATGCAAGATCTTTATCCATGTGGAAGAGCTGAGGTGGGCCTCCTGGCTTGTGGATGAGTCCTCATTCACCTTTCTGGGAACCTCCAAGTGTTTAGCTATCCAGAAACTCCCAAACCCTGTGCCTTTGGATTTTTAAGGAGACTATATTGTATAGGCATAATTACTAATAGACTGGATGGGGAACTCAGTAAGTCCTTCTATTAGATTCTTTGGCCTTCCTTCCTCCATGGGTTAGAATCCTTTCTGAAATCCTGAGTCTTATCATTCACAATCAGACAAGGTGGGTATGAAAATTTAAGATTAGAGTTTCTGTGATCTGCTGGGAAGAAGGGGAAAGAGTTACGAGCCAGGAATTGTGGATAGAAATATTTGTATATACATACACACATACTTAATTATATTATAATACCCAACAAAATTTTACTGATATTTTCATTAGAGTCCAGGATGAGATTTAGGGACATGTTATTATGCAGTGTCAATTCAACGTCAGTGTAGAGTTGAATATATTCCTGGTTGATACGAGGATATGAAACCACTGAATTCTTAATATTTATAAAACAAAATTTCCATCTCTGGAACAAAAAGGGAGCTAGAAAATTGATTGTCAGTGCCTAAACTTTATATTTGAAATATTTTTTTAGGATAGCATCTTTCTATTTTTATGGAAGGAAGGACCTAAAGATATAACTGTAATTTGCTATTGTGAGTTTATTGCTTTTTAATTTTATGTTTTAAAGTATGCCAATTCAGTGGCTTTAAAACTTGTTAATATTTCTTAATAAGTACTAACACCAGCATACAATTGTGAATTAAACTGAGTAATTTTCTTTGTGGAAACTGTAAAATATTTCCTGTTTTAACTTGCACCTTTCAACTTTTTTATTCACAGTGCACCTATAATGTGTTTTAGAAGTAGATGTTAAACTTCAGTTTGAAGGAAGAATGTCTCTCAATCCATCTGTATTTCTTAAAGAAATCGAAGAACATAATTCAAAATTTGTGGAAACAAACAAAACTACTTCCATAGCTTCAGAAAATCCCCTTCAAAACTTATGCTTAGCATCTCAAGAAGTTCTTCAAAAAGCTCAGCAAAGTGGGAGATCAAAGTGTCTCAAATGTGGTGGTTCAAGGATGTTTTACTGCTATACATGTTATGTCCCAGTTGAAAATGTACCTATTGAACAGATTCCACTTGTGAAGGTTGGTAAGATATTTAATTGTTTGAAAGTAGGAAAATAGATTTTCAAAAGATGTTTCATATGTGCTGGTTCTAATGTAATTGATAAGCTGGATAAATAATGTCATTATGAAAACAATCTTTTTAATGAAAATTCAAACTGCCCTCTGGTAAACACAATTATTGTTAATACTGTCCCCTCAATTATTTAAGATATATCTTCCTATAAAATATGTGAATATAGAACTCAAACATCTATTTCTATAATTTGATCTGTTTTTGTGCTGTTCATAGCATCAGAAATCTTAGACTTATTCATTGAGAACTAACAGTACCTGGATTGGGTTCTGGGGTCACAAATTTTGCATATTGTCTGATATTTAAATAATTTAGTCCATAAGACTTTCCCTTTTTATTGTGTGATTTATAAATTAGGTTAGGCACAAGATTTTCAAAATTCATTAATTAGAGTCATGTATCCTTGCTATAAATTGTATCTCCTTCAAGATAGCCAGGTGGTCAAAAATATTGGCTTTTGGAATATTCAACTCATCAATCATATAAGGAAGTCAGTTTTATTAATAATAGAATTAAAAATACTTTGTTATGATCTGCTTTCTATTTTTTTCCCTTTCTATTCTCTTCCTTCTTTACCTGGGTTAAGATAATGCTGACCTGGTACTCAGAGATCCTGGGGAAAGGGAATATAGTGTCAGCTGAGACTGAGCTTCATGAGGAAAGTCTGATGTAGAGGTCAGCCAGAAGTAGACTGATGTAAAATCATTTGTGAACTGCCTACTTAAATGGTAAATTTTCTATAAATAGAAGTTGGTTTGATGATTGAAGCAATTGACTCTAATGTATAATTGATCCCTGGGCCTAAGTGGGAAGGGTAGCAGATAATGGTGTTTGAAACCCTAACTGAAAACTATTGAAAGTACTTATTTATGGGCTAAGGTCTTTTTGGTGTATGTTATTTACATAATTGTCCAGAAAAAAAAGTTATGTATGAAATTGGGCCTACCTCGTAGTGTGCAGCAACTGCTACTTTTAAAAAGCTTTGGAAATAATGATACAACAATATGGATGAATCTCAAAATAATTAATCTCAGTTAAAGAGGGAAGATGAGGAATACTTACTGTATGATTTAATTTATTTCAAAATTATAGAAAAGTAAACCAATCTAAAGTGACATCTAGATTACCTGATGATTGGGAGTGTAGTAGTTGAGGAAGAGGGGGAGAAACAGAAGACTTTTGGTAGTAGCAAATCATTATCTTGATTGTGGCAATTGCTTCACAGGTATAATATACATTAAAATTATTAGAATTGTAACTTTGTTTAAAATGTGTAGTTTAAAATACAAGAAAAATAGTTTTTATTTCAGAGCAAATTCCTAGAATCTTGCCTGTTTAGTATGGAATGGGCACTTGAAGATGGTAGGAAATTTGTTTTTAAATAGCATTTTAAAACGTCTTTTAAATTCTAAAGTAAAGAACCCATCTCAGGAGGGGTTCTTATATACATAATGGGGAAGATATAGCTTACATTTTCATGGTTATGGCTGAATACATGATGTGTATAGGCATTATAAAGAGAGCTAAACCAAATAAATCAAAGTAAAATAATGAAAATCTCTAACCCAAGAAATCCTAGATAGTATATTTTTGTCTAGAGGCAGGTGTAATCCATAACAAAATGAACAGTAGGGGAAGGTGGGCAAGGTGATTTTGAAGAAAGTTATTTGTGATAGAAAGATTACATCTCTTAGACCTATTACTGTTTTTCTAATTGATAGTTATGTATGCTGTTAAAATGTACTGCTGAAAATCACAACATTCAAAATAGAGGATACCTTTGGCTTGAGAGGATCTGTAAGGAACAGAATTTCAGCTTGATTTTTAAATCTTAAGTATTGTTCAACATTGCATTTCCTTTAAAAATAGCATAAAATAAACAAACCTAGAGTTTATAGGAATTATAAAAAATATTCTTGGCAAAAATACTGAAATATGAGGAATTGGACTCATTACCCATATAAATTAAGTAAAATAACACTAGATCTTTGTTTTAGGAGCAGATTGTATGTTAAATGAGTTGAAAATATTTGATCTATAATATGATTAACAATATTGAGGAAGAAATTTGTGTTTGTTTTGTTTTGACTTTCACCATTCTTAATATTCTGACTTAGAAAAATATGATTATAGAAACTTAGTGTGAATTTCCTGTTTTATAGACTTTTTATTAACATAAAAATTATAATTTTTATATTTGTTTTGTTCATTTGTCTTTTTTTCCCTTCACTTTAGCTTCCATTGAAGATCGACATCATTAAACATCCAAATGAAACAGATGGCAAAAGTACTGCAATACATGCAAAACTCTTAGCACCTGAATTTGTGAACATTTACACATACCCTTGTATTCCAGAGTATGAGGAAAAAGACCATGAAGTAGGAAGCTTATTTTTTACAACTCTTTGTATTAAATATAAAAATTAATTTTAAACACCAGTTGCTTTTCTGAACTAACTTAAACACAATTTAATATTTTTCTTAATAATCTAGTGTTATGCTCATATAACATTAAACAACATGTAGTTTATTTCATTGGTATCTTCACAGGTCAAGTGATCCTAAACTATTATGCTTTTTGGAATCTTCTGCTAAATTTTCATAGTTTTTCTATCTTATTTCTTTAGGGTTTTACTCTTTGCCAGTATTACAATGCCTGCTTTTTCTTTCTTCTCTCATCATTTTCCCATCTCTAATACAGCATGTAGCTGGTCTAATTTGATACCAAATTAGAAATGTTGTTGGAGTATCTCTGTAAGAAGAAAAGAAAGACTGAGATAGAAGGTTTTTCATGAATTTTTTCTAAAATAAAAGCTTAGTACATAGCTTTTGTAATATGTCTTGACTGCTCAGATGTTTTCCTTGTTCATGTCTAGATTCTCAATTGGTTTTCACATAGTTTATATTATTATACTAGTGGGATATTACTGGTCTTATAATAAATAGGTCTCAGAAATTAGGCCTCGGGTACTTTTGAAAGAAGCATTAAACTCTTTAGGTTTCCTGGGGGCCATTGTGAGTGTGGCTAACCTAGAAACAAAATTAAAAATTTATATATTCATTTGTTTCAGAAAGAACTTGGTTTTCTTATCAATTTATATATGTTTTGATTGAATTTATATACTAAGTTGTGTTTGTAAATAATATCTGAGTTTTAGATCTAGGAATATATTTTTATTTCCTTCTCTGGTCAGCTAGATACACTTATGTTGATTAAATGGAACACATTGTATTATACTATTGAACCCTGCCATTAATAATGGCTATAAAGACCCATTACATCAATTCCTTGCCAGCATTCACTATGTATCTATCTTTGCTTATCATATAGGTGAAAATAGTATTTAATCATTGAGCAGTAGTCAGTGGTTCTTTTATAAAGTATCATGCACTTTGCCTTTTTATCTTGTGAAATGTACTTTTAATTTTTAATTCAAGATACAGTTAACTTTGCCCTCTCAATCAGTGAATAAATTATTTTGAATACTTTAAGATGGTTATTATGATTTTAGATTATTAGGGAAGAGCCAAAAACTTTATCATGAATATTGAAGAAACATGTACAGTAGGACTAACCTAATACTTGTTTCTCACATATTCAACATATTTTCTCCCTAAAGTTTTAGGTCACTTTTGAACTTATTTTGATCATAGCACACAACTAACCTCAGTTTTTTTGTTTGTTTGTTTGTTTGTTTTAGGTTGTACTTGTTTTTCCTGGACCTCAGTCTATCTCAATAAAAGATATTTCTTTTCACTTGCAAAAAAGGAGTCAAAATAAAAGTAGAGGCCAAAATGATGACCTTGACAAGCCATCTTTTAAACGAAAAAAAATTGAAGATCAGGAGGACTATGATTTGAATGATAGTATGTGCAAAAACACAATACTGAAAAAAATTATCTTTATAGATAGCACCTGGAACCAAACCAACAAAATATTCTCTGATGAGCGACTTCAAGGTAAGGACAAAAAAAGGTTTGTTTGGTTTTATTTATTTATTTATTTAGATTGCTCCTCCTCTATCAATGTTTATTTTCAAAAAACTTCAGATTTATAGTAAAAAGGAAAATTATATTTAATATGTATACATTTGCCTTATTTCTCTTCCTATATTTGATGTGTGTGTGTGTGTGTGTGTGTGTGTGTGTGTAATAGTGTTTAACCATTTGAAAGTTAAGTTGCAGGCTTCTCAACACTTTACACTGGTAAACATTTGGAATTATTTTCTCTGTAAAGTCTGGCAAAAGGTACATTTTCACCATTTTAAGTGCATTCTTCATTTCAGAATTCATAATAAGATAATGAAAACATAATTTCTAATACAGTAAACTGAGGTTTAGAGTTAGTTTGTTCAGCTTAATCCTATCAAATAATAAAATGTTTTAAAATGGAAAACCAATGATTTATAACAAAAATGGATTGTTTCTTGTGGAAGTAACTTGGCTTCTCCAGAAATTGGTATTTCACATGTATAGAGGTCGTATTTGGAAAGCCCCAATTATTCCCCATGGTACAATAAGGAGCTAGTAGGAGCAGGGAATAATTGGGGCTTTGCCAATTATTACCTTAACATGGTAATTACAAGGAGCAAATGAAAGAAGATAAGTCAAAATCATTGGCAAAACTATTTAAGAAAGAGATTATTCAAAGTCTCTTGTACTTTAGATTTGCCCAAAATAGATTTATACAAAGGATTTCTGTTACTTCTTCCCAATTCACATAGAAAGTGTGTTTCAATTCTGTGCTAGATCAAATTTTTTTTTGCCACCTGCCTGCCCGTCCTTCTAGATCATAATTTTTTAAAAACTTTTTTTTAAGTTGTAATGACACAATACCTTTATTTTATTTATTTATTTTTTTATGTGGTGCTGAACCTAGTGCTTCACACGTGCAAGGCAAACGCTCTACCACTGAACCACAACCTCAGCCCCTAGATCATAATTTTGTAATTCTCTCCTTTAAAAGTTATTAATTGCTAGATATACTAGAAAGGGAATTTTTAAAGTGTATATGTTGAATTTTTTAAATGTTAATTTTTATGTAATTCAACATATTTTTAAAGATTCCTACATATTTTAAAGCATATTTTTAAAAACATATTGGATTAGTGGTGATAACTACTAAACATTTATTTTTATATTTAACATATTTTAGAACATATTAGAAATATTAGAGAAACAAGAGTTTAAGGATAGTTAAGAACTTAGAACATTTTCAAATGTCTGCCTTTACCTCTTGATGGTAATTAACATTGATACAAATGTTTTAAAAGGACTTAGTCTTAGTTTTGGTTGATATAACTATTGTTTGTCTTTGAATCAGAATTGCTTAAATTGAAATGTTTTTAAACTACCTAGACAGAATACTGTAAATGCAGAATTTTTTTATTTTTCCATTTATTCCATTATTTATTGAATATTGTGCCATATATTTGTTGAATACCTATTACTGGATAGGCAGTGTCCTAGATTTGAGGGAAGCAAAAGGAGAATAAGGCAAACTGTGCCCTCTCAGTGATTACAGTAGCTATCAATTATAGTTGTGTTCAGCTTCATGGAACAGAAGCCTAGTTAGAACCTTTTAAATAAGTATCAGGTTTACTTTTCACACAAAAAAGTCCAGAGGTGTATAGCCTAGGGTTGGTATAGGGACTTCACAATGCTATTAAGAGCTCGTACTTCTGTTTTCTTCATTCACTATTACTTCCATCCTCATGTAGCTTGTCATGAAGGTAGGACATTTTTTCCAGGCAAGATAAGGGGCAAAAGATGTGTGTGTGTGTGTGTGTGTGTGTGTGTTTATTAATATAAAAGTCAAACAATTACATTCCTGAAGGTTCTCCTTATAGATGTTAGTTTTTTCTCTTTGGCCAGAACTGGTTCACATGATTATCTTGGCTATAAGGAAGGCTGGATAATTGTTTTTTAGCTGGACACATGCCACACTGAAAAGAATTGAAAGTTGGTTAACATGAGAAAAAAAGAGAGTAGATGTCGAGAAGTATTGGGCATTTTCTGCTAAATAATTGATTTTAGGAAACAGATAAACAGGTAAACAGATAAGAAAATTCACTGGGTGTGAAGTGCAGTAGCATTATTTAGGAGACTGCCTGGAATCTCTGAAAGATTCTTAGAGTTGCTATCTATTGAAATATTGAATAAATTGGTGAGGGGGAACATTTCAGGACAAAAGAATGACATATGCATAAAGATATTAAAAATAATTTAGCACTTAAAAAACTGATTTAATATGGTCTACAATATATACATATGCAAATGGCAGAAAAAACTAGAGAAATTCAAATTGTGAATGCCCTTAAATATCATGCCTGGGAATTTGGTCTTTGATCCATGAGGGTGTGATTAATTTGTATTCTAAGTGTAATGGAAAGAACTGAGCTGGGAGTTGACTTCCAGACCTAGTTCTGTCACTATGTATATTGGCAAAGAGTTGGGATTTTGGGGGATGTGGGAGAGTGGGGATGTTATATTACATTTTAAAGTAAGTTATTATGTTTATTTTCAAAATATGTAATATTAAGTTATAGAGCAGAGTGATATAATGAACAGTGAAGAGCCCCAGCACCAGAATAATATCAATAATTTCCATTGGTTTTTCTGTCCCATATCATTCCCCTTTCCCTCTGACAGTGAATTATTTTCCTGAATTCTGTGTTTTTCATTTTTATTGTAGTGTTATATGCATGTGTTTTCATAAGTTATGTGTTGTCTTATTTGATGTCTGACTACATGAATATACTCATATAGTCTCATCTCCTATTGATGAAGCACTTGGGTTATTTCTAGGTTTTGCTATTATAAATAGTGCTTCTATAAACATTATTGTACATATGCAAACTCCTCTAGGAAACATACCTAGCAGTTGAATTGTTTGGTTGGTTGTTGAATATGAAAATGTTCAGCTTTGTACAACAATGCCAGATTATTTTCAAAGTGGGTTTATAAATTCATACTCAAATCATTAATATATAAAAGTTTCCATTGATTCATAATCCCTCCTATGTTGGTATGTCACGTGTCTGCTTTTTCCAAGTCTGTTGTGTATAAATGCTGTCTCGTTATGGTATTAATTTGCATTTATCTTGTTACTAATTGTATTGAGCAGCATTTTGTTTATTTTGCCTTATACACGTGCTATTCTGTGAAATTTCTAGTGTTTTATTTATCCTCTAGTGTTTTGAAATATCTTTGCAGTCTGGTTCATCTTTGTAATTTCTTTTTGGTAGATTTTGAGGAAAATTTTTTAGTGTGGAATTTATAAATCTTTGTTTATACCTTTTAGTCTCTTGTTTATTTTAAATCTTTCTTTAACTTAAGTTAGTATATTTTAAATTTTCATAGATTTTTGCATTTTCTGTACAAATAATATCACTTGTATTCCTTCCAGTTCTCATGTGATCAATTCATTAACTAATTTTATTTTTCTTTTTGCTATGTTAATTAAGACCTCATGCAATATTGAATGAAAACTCTGTAGAGGTTATATTTTTCATGTTTCAGGCTGATAATCTATCTTTTAGATAGCAGATTTATAATTGCTGTGAATATTGATATATTTGGATCTGTTTTTACTGTCTTAATTTTTATTTCTATTTGAATATTTTAAAATATGTTTTCCTGGCTTTTCTTTGATTGAATGAAATTTTTTCAAAATTCCTTTCTGAATTCTTTCAGAGGATTGTGCATATGTCACTTTAAAATGTTCAAAACCAAACAATATTTTAACCTGTCCTTTTAGACAATGTAAGGACTTGGTACACTTATGCTTCATTCAGCCTTCTCCTGGTTCACAGTCTTATTATTACTATTCATTATTTTTGTTCTGTCCTTTATTTTGAGCCCACAAATTAGATATTATCATTTTTGTTTTATACATGCAACCTTTATTTGGATTTGCATAGATGTTTACCATTTTATTTGCTCAGCATTCTAATAATACAATACTTTGCTGAAATATATTCTTTAGGAACTCTTTTAAATAGGTTTCTTGTTGGCATGGTTCAGTTTTTGTTTATTAATGTTTTTAATGTTTTCATGCTTTTCCTTGATGCATTATTCTGCTGCGTACGCAATTTGTTACCAGGTTTTTTTTCTTTTCTTTTTTGACATATTGACAATATGTCAAAATATTTCAATGTCTTCAACATTCTTTTGTTGTGAATAAAGTTTCTTGTCGCTTATCATTCCTTTGCATGTGATCTGTCCCTTTTAAATAACTTTTTAAAATCTTCTCCTTGATGTTTCACAGTTACATTACTGTGTATTGGTCCTAGACAGATTGAATTTATTCTGCTTTGGATATATTATGGTTCATGTATATGTAGCTTTGCATTTTTAAAAATAATTCCTGGAAAAGTTGTAGGCATCATCTCTTTAAATGCTATCTCTATTTGTTTTTTCCTTCTTGAACTCCTATTAGACATTTGATCCTCCATATCTCTTAATACCTTAAAATTTCTTATTTATTTCTTGTTCATTTTTTATATTTCTGAGGTAACTTTGATGTAAAAGTGAAATCTGACAGTAGGAAATCATTTATGACTCAGAGGTTTCTAATTGGTCAGTGGACTAACTGATTTTGATGCTACCTTCTCCCTTTTATTTTTCCCTTTGAAATACAATATGCTAAAAATATGGCTAATTAATATAACACAAACCTAAGTACTAATCTGATGAGCTGAAAGCATTTTGGGTTTGCATGCTGACATCTGAGTTGTAAAAGATAAAGAGTTCTGCATCATTAATCATTTCCTCTTTAAATGTATAAGACCAAGTCATTCTAGCTGACTGTAATTGAGGCTAAGCAGCATGGATGTGATGGAGCTAAAGAAATAGCTCTATGTAGTCTAATCATGAAGATATAGCCTAAAAGTGACAATCTAAAAGTAAACTTTTATCAGTATTAAGGACCATTAAGTTTCCTATCTCTGTCAGTGGGTTCAAGAATGACATTTTAAATTCAGTTTTTCAGAGAAATGAAACCCTTTTGAACACTGGTAAATTTAGTCTTGTCGTGGGTTGAAGTTTTAAAAGACTAGTACTTGTATATTAAAAGTTGCCTACTTTTCCTCCATTGCTACAAGGTGGATGACTCATGGATAAGATTTCATTCTGTGTCTTATATTGCTTCTATATATACCTCAGTACATTTAAAATCATAATCTTACTTGTATTGAAGCAACTTACCTATGTATTTCTTTAAAGTCCTTAAAATAATTAAAGAATTCATTATTATTGTATCACACCCTTGGTTAAAAAGTATTTATATTTTTTCTTTTTTTTTTTTCTTCTCCTTTTTTTTCTTTTTTTATGGCAGGGTTGTTACAAGTTGAATTGAAAACAAGAAAAACTTGCTTTTGGCGCCATCAAAAAGGAAAGCCAGATACTTTCCTTTCCACAATTGAAGCCATTTACTACTTTCTAGTAGACTACCATACTGATGTATTAAAAGAAAAATACAAAGGACAATATGACAATCTTTTATTTTTCTACTCTTTTATGTACCACTTGATAAAGAATGCCAAGTGCTCTGGAGATAAGGAAACAGCAAAACATACCCAGTAGTTGATAACAAGTCACCTATCATTTTATTTTGCTAAAATTAATAAACTTATAGTTGTGCTTTGTTTATTCTTGGGAAATAATTGTATATAATAGCTGCAATATCACTTGAAAAAATTCCATTTTCACTCATATTTTTTAAAACAAAATTGTATCTGAGGCAATTTTTCGGAGATAAAGTTGATTTAAAAACCTTATTTTGAAAGTTATTTGCTCAATTTTGGCATATCTCAGTTTTATCGCTATATTTTAATAAAATGTTTTATCTATGTAATTATAATTAAATATTCGATTAGAGGTCTTTGTTTCTTTTTCACCTATACTTTTTTACCTTTGGATTTAGATGAGGTCAGAATGTTTATGCTGAAAAAAAATTGATACCGATTTGTTTGAGGTTAGTGACAAATGTAGGCACAACTAGAATTAGAGCTCTAGTTTGTTTCTAGTGCTATTTCTCTAAGTCTTCACTGTCTGTGATGAACATTTACCGCCTCTTGCATCTGCCTGTTATCTCTTTGAAGGGAAGATTGTTAATAATCATACGGTCCTCCATTGAGATGGGATATGTGACCTAGGAAGATGAGTGTTGTAGCACATCCAAAATGCAGTGATTGATCCAGGGCTGAGCACATGACCCAATAGTAAAGGAGTCCTTTTTGATGAGTCCTGTGGATGCTGTAGAAGGTGGGGTTTAAACTGGGCACATTGGTGCAGGACTATCATCCCAGTTACTGTGGAGTCTGAGGCTGGATGATCCAGGTTTGAAGCCAGCCTGGGCAACTTAGTGAGACACTGTCAAAACAGACAGACAAACAAAAAGGGTTGATTCAATCCTTAATACTGAGATACTGAGAGAGAAAGAGAGAGAGAGAAAGAGAGGGGGAGAGAGAGAGGATTTACTTTTCAAAAGGCAATATTGTACAGTGGCTAAATGCACATATTCTAGAACTAGACAACTGAATCTAAATTTCAACTTTGCTTTTTTATGTAACAGCCATATGTCAATTTTTTCATCTGTGGCAATCTTATAGAATTACTATGAGGATTAACTGAATGAATGTATATTAAGGGCTTTCAGCATCACCTAGAATATTAAGTGCCATATTCCCAGCCCTTATTATTTATTTGGCATTGTGAACTAAGAATGATTTAAAACTAGGGCTGCTAGTGACTACTTATGCCACCAGGTGAAAAGATCCAGTGTTAGAATGAAGGCAGAAGAAGAAAACAGGGTGGAGAGATAAAGAGAGACTGAGTTTTGATGACTTAAGCACAGATGTGGGTGCTTTTGAATGGAACCCTACCATGCTCTATAGCTTTTGTTTGCCCCTCTATAGCTACCCTTAACTCTTTTCAATTCTGCTCCCTGCCTGTGAAATATGTTCCCTTGTTCTCTGACTTTTGATTTGATTCAACAAATGAGATGCATCAGCAAGAAATTAGAGGTTGAAGGGAAAATCATTTATTTCCCTGCCCCTTTCTTGTCAGGTCCTCATGGGTTGATTGTGTCCTTTTACAGAATGCCATTTTATCAGGTATCCTTTCCCTTCCCAAGCAATTATCCCAGTTTCCTCTCTAGATTCAGATCCATGCTCTTTCCCTCTGCACATTTTTATTTAAGGTAGTAACGGTTCCACTTGTTGCTAAGTCTCAGGGTAGATCATTATCCTTTGTTATTTTCCCTCATCCCTACTCATACTTTTATAAATACTCATTTTATTATGCTCCAATAAAGTGACTTCATTTGAAGATGCTTTTGTTCACTTGAAGTTTCTGTTTCTATCTGGGGCTCTGACTAATATGTATTAGACACTAGGAATAATAGTACATATCTCAAAGCTTATGCATTGGGACATATAATATGTTTTATAAAAAAATAAAATTCATAAAAATAAAACAGTTCTTGGCAAAATTAGTTTGCTGCACATTATATTTCTTGAAAATTCAAAAGGCACAGCATATTAAAGATTCTGAAAAGTCCTGAAATAAGCATTCTGTACTTTTACTTAATTTAATATATCTTAAGCTTTCTTGAATACATAATGCCTATTTAACATCCATGGAAATAGAATATTTAGGATATTGTGGTTTAGAGCAGCTCCTGAGCAACAGAACTAAAGAGATAAGGTAAATTATCAATAGGTCATACAGTTAGTGGCAAAACTTGGTCTAGATAGTCTGGGACTTCTGACTTGGTTTTGTTTAGTGAGATCACCATTATATTTTGCTATTCATAGAAAGGAATGTGGATGTTATAGTCAGCTTTTTCACTGCTGCGACTAAAAGACCGAACCAGAATAATTGTAAAGAAGGAAAAGTTTATTTGAGGACTCATGGTTTTAGAGGTCTTAGTTCGTAGAAGGCCAGCTCCATTCCTCAGGGCTCCAGTTAAGGTAGAATATCATGGTGGAAAAGTGTGGCAGAGGGACACATGTATGGCAGAGTGACATGGCACAAATGATGTTGAGAAAGTAGAGAGACAGACTCTCCAGATACAAAAAAAAAAAAATTATATATATATATCCATACCCCATATCCATGCACCCAGTGAACTACTTCCTTCAGCCATACTTCACTTGCCTCCAGTCACCACTCAGTTAATCCCATCAGGGATTAATTCACTGATAAGGTTAAGGCTCTACCCCAATCATTTCTCCTCTGATACTTGCTTTGTCTGACATCTAAACCATAACAGTGGATTATATGAGATTTGAACATTACTAGCTCCATAATCTTAGCAGGATAAACTAACTGGCTTACTTATTAGCAGTTATTTTACAAGAATGGAATTAAAAGAGATTTCTTCACATTTAAAACTTGGCCCTGGAAATAGAGGAATGTTTGAATTGATTTAAGCAGGGCCAAACTTGGATTTCTTTGAGCTAAATTTGGACTTCCCTGAGCCAAAAATCTATTGCCATTTAAAAACCAACTAAACATAACACTTGAAAGGGAGAAGGGAAAGAATAGAGAGAATATTCCTATCATTTATTTGCCCCCATCTCACAGCTGGCATAAGAAAGATGACCCACAGACTTCAAAAGAGGCTAATTCACAACTAAAGCCAAATAAAATCTCAAGTTCTTTCCAAAAAAAAAGATGATAATACCTGTTAGAACAAAGAATTGACTGTACTTGTTTTGTTTTTTTCCTTTGGTGTGATAGCAAAAAATTGCTGTACTTCTTTGTTCTTTCCCATTCATGGTGCTTTTTCAGGTTCCTTTGAAGTACCCTTTGACTCTGAATCTGGGCCATATGTGTTTCCAAAAATTTATTGTATTTTTACTTATTTATTGTATTTGTACTTCTGGTGTTGTCATATAAACATGCATGGCTGTTAGCCTACTGGAGGATAAGGTTCCCATAGAAGAGCCAGCTTGCCCCATCACCCTAGCTAAATCCTGTTGAGATTGGCTGATTGCCAACCAACCCCCAGCTATACGAATGATTCCCAGCCAAGATCAGCAGTGTCACCTAATTAACCCCTACCTGATTTTAGATATGTGAGCAAGTTATGCCTATTGTTATGTCACTGAGGTTTAGTTGTTGATTATACAGCATTATTGTAGATATATATAAATATCTCATTATTGGATAGTGTAACAGTGGACATCTCAAGCACCTGAAAAGGTTTTCAGCCTCACTATATCTTGAGCCCTTGACCACTCATTTTGCCTTAGTTATAACCTTATGCAGTGACAGATTACCAGCAGGCTTATGTGATTGCTCTGCTTTAGGTCAATTAGCCATATGCCTAGAATCCTTGGCCCACTTCTGCACTCTGAAAAACATGCCAAAGGGCTTCCTCAGTGACTGTTGAAAGGGCTAAGTGACAAACTGTTAGTGGATGCTGAAAAGACAGTATAGTAGGCACAATAATTACTACTTTCAAGTGTCCACATTCAAATCCCCAGAACCTTGAATATACTATTTTACATGGTAAAGGAACTTCTCGTTGATGTGATTTAGTTAAGGATTTTGAAATTGGAGAGATTATCCTGGATTACTTAGTTATGCCTAATATACACACCAGAATCCTTAAAAGTAGAAGAAAGATAACACAAGAGGAAGTCAGAGTGATGAAAAATGAGCTTTTAACTCACCATTGCTGGCTTTGCAAATGGACAAAGAACCATAAGCCAAGGAATGCACGCAGTCTCTAAGAAGCTAGATAAAACAGGGAAACAGATTCTCCCTAGAGCCTCCAGAAAGGAATTAGTTTAGCCAACATTTTGATTTTAGTCCAGTGAGATCTGTGTTGGACTTCTAACCTACAGAACTATATAATAATAAATTGTGTTGCTTACACATATTAAATTTGTGGTAATTTGTTACAGAAGCATGAGAAAAATAGTAATGAGCTATTAGCCAAGTTTTGAGGAATAATGAGCAAACACTAGGAGATGGAAAGCAGAGCAATTATTATATGTTGGAGTAATAATTTTTTCAGTGACAGAATGCTTGTCTTAACATAAAATATGGAAAATAAATCTTATGAGCTTATAGATCTCCTCAGGAAATTTCCAAGTGAATATCAAAGGTACCAATTAACTTATGATGATGTATAGGAAGATACAAATGAACTGAAGAAGAAATTGTTCAACTTGAAAGCAGAATTTAGAGGAAATATTTCCAACCCATTACTTGTGATTTTTTTTTTTTGGGGGGGGGGGTGGAAAAATGATGACTGGGGGGTGTAGTCAAAATCCCAGAGGAGGAGCCAAGAAGCAAGAAGAGCAATGGAAAGGAAACTATTCCCAGGATTGGCAGAATATCCCCTGCCTTTAATGTAGAGGACACTGACAATAATTTTAGTTTTGGGCCTTCTGTTTCCTTGACCCCTTTTTCTGTTGTGTTCCTTTCCTAGAAAACCTTGGCTGAGAAAAGCCACTCCCAGCATCTGCACTTGAGGAACAATAATAGGGATTTTATTCATTTCTGGACCTGAGTTAGATAATAAGATACTGAACTTAAACTTATGCTGTAAGAGGGTAAGAATTTTAGGATACAGAATGAATATATTTTTGCATGTGAGTGGGCTGAGAACTATGGCCAGAAGGTGGACTTGTGATAGTCTTCAAATTTTATTCTCAAACACCCTCTGATACACATTCCTCTGATACGCATACCCTCTATTCTGGGGGTGAAGTTCATTTCCTTTTCCCTTCAATCTGGCATGGCCTCCTAAGTTAATTGGCTAACATGATGAAAGTAAGTTTTGATAGTTTTACTTTCACTCTCCAGAGTGACCATATTAAAATCCAAGTTATCCTGCTAGAAAGAAGGCAGTGTGGAGAGTACAGAGACACCACATAGAAGGGAAAACCACATAGGGAAGGACTGCGATACCTGGATATCAACACTCTTAGTCAATTTGGCTTACTGTAACAAAAATATTAGACTGTGAGGCTTAAATAACAGAAGTTCATTTCTCACATTTCTGTAGCTGGGGGTCTGGAAGTCCTAGATTGGGTTTCCAGGACGTTTAGGGGGTTGGTAAGAGCTCTCTTCCTAGTTTGCAGACAGCCATCTTCTTACTATATCCTCACATGGTGGGCAGTGTTTTAATCTCATTAAGGGCATCATGGGGCTCAATCATTATGACCTCTCAAAACCTGATTACTTTCCTAAAGCCTTGCTTCCAAATACTGTAACAGTGAGCATTAGGATGTCAACATGTGAATTTGGGGAGGAAACAAATATTCAGTCTGTAGAAAACATCAGGTTACTAGGCAAAGTATGAGAGGTCTTGAACCCTCTAACTCAGCCAGCACCTGGATACAGCTCTATGGGGCACCTCTTTAAAGCTAAAGAATCACTAGTTAAGTCACAGAACTATGAGAAATTTAAAAATCATTTGATAGGTTTTGGGGTAGTTCATCTCATAGAAATTGATAACTTATATAGCAGTCTTTTTGTTTTGTGGAAGGTAGGTTAAGGGGGTGTGGGCAGAGACAAGACCTGTAGTAGGTGGGAGAGGAGGTAGATACCTATTTTTTAACTGTCTGGTAGTGTCTTCATCGGTACCATTTTCTTAAACAGCTTTTGAGCTTTTGTATTAAATTAGTCCAGTCTATTGGACAAAAAGCTACTTCTGTATACCTTGAAATAAGCCCCTTCGCTTGGGCTGAGAATCAGGTACTGTAGAAAATGCCCATAGATTCTCTGTTCTACAGGGCCTAATGAAGCATTGCTTGAAATGATTGTAAAGTCTTTGCAAAGGTTGTGCAGCCTTTGATTTATCTTAACTCTGGGACTGTTAGTTCCTTAAACTTTTATCTTTGCCCTGAGATCATTTATGATGAGTGGAATATTTTGCTGGCTGGTAAAGTTGGGAATAGAAAACAGTAGGGAATACTTCAAAGACTTCTCTAAATGTGCTAAAAGTTTATAGAAAGATATGATGTCTACATATTTTACCTTTATATCTAAACCCATCATGAAAAGCTCTGGAAATTAATAAAACTAATAAAATAATATTAATTAAATTATTAATAAAATTAGAATAAAATCTAATTTGTGATTTGTGATTAAATGTATGAGAGACATTTATTTAATCAAATATAGTATAATTATAGCATGAATATTTACCAAATAACTTAATTTTTGAAGCAGAAAGAAACATAAGTAGAAGTCTGACTACCTTTTAAAGTGAAGGTTAACTATAAGTTCAAGAAATACTTCATGTTTGTGCTATATGAACATGTTGATTCCATCTGGTTCTCTGCTAAGAATTAAATAAAAATTCA